TCCCCGAGCCCCGAGCAGGCAGCCGCCGACCACACTGCACGCACAGGGCAGGCCCGATGCCACGGGAATGTTCAGCGTCCGGTCCGGTGTGTTAACGGGGCTAGTCCAGATCGACACAAAGTCAACAATCAAAACATATCAGTGGCGCTTATGCAGTTAGTCGTTTAAGGAAAAAGGTTCCCATTACCTTCGGTTGAAAATCCCACAGAAAAAAGCGCCGTATTTGCCTTTGTTGGTCAAAGGCATCGGCGCTGTTTCATGGCACGCGCGAAGGCAAACCTTGTCGCTTCCAGTCATGGTTTGGTGTGCGTCTGCTGGTGTCGCGTAAGAAGGTATTCATGTGTATATCCAACCTGGCTTCGAAGTCAGGGTAGCGGCAGCCGGCGCCCAACTTTGGGCAATTGTATCTGGGTGGCTCGCACATGATTTTGGAGAAACGAAAATTGATCCGTTTGGTCCCACGATCAATCGATAGGATTTCGTCAGGAACTTCTCGCCGGGTGACAGCATGATCTTCCGTCAAGGTGTGCTATTAGCTGAACCTTTTTAGTCCTGGCTCGCAAGGTAGTTTTTATATCCAACTGCTCACAATCGGAACACATGGCTTTCAGTGATGTCGACAGTTGCCGTGGATTAGTCAATGTCAGGCCCGTTCCATGGAATCCATTCCAGTAATTCCCATTTTCCATGTGCAGTTATTAGTTATTCATACATGTTATGTGCGACAAAGAACCGTACGCATGTGCCCCGTAGCTGTCATGAATGTTATTACTGAGGTTTCTGTAGCATCATGTGGTGTTGGAACCAACGGCCAAATACGTGACGGGAGGTTCAGAAGAGCACGTCATTGCCGGGGGACGCGCGGTCACGTCGAGATTCGTCTTTTCCAACGGAAAACGCCAAGTTTTTCGTGCGCATCACATGGATTTCGTGTGTAGATCCGGCCCGCTTCCCACGCCCTTTCTATGTGCTCCATCTGCGTGGCGCGCTATCGCACGTCACATTGGGATCTGTACTGGCCGGTACGAAAACTAACCTGAAGCCACGGGCTTTACGCTTGGAAGCTGCTGTGTCCAGCAGAGGCGGCCGGCGCTCGGCGGATTTTGGTGACCTCTCGCCGGCCTGTGACGGCCCCATCCCAGTCATGCTCGGTGGGTTTTGATCACCTCTCGCCGGCCTGTGACGGCCCCATCCCAGTCATGCTCGGTGGGTTTTGATCACCTCTCGCCGGCCTGTGACGGCCCCATCCCAGCCATGCTCGGTGGATTTTGCCCACCTCTCGCCGGCCTGTAACGGCCCACCCTAGCCATGAGACGGTGGCAGGCTAACAGGGCGGACAATGAACCATTTAACGTAGGATGCTCCCGTCCCAGTGAAGGCAAAACGTTCAGGTTTTATTTATGGTTAAACGTGTCCAGCATCGCTCTTTTTGACGTCACGAATTTAAGTCATGAGGATGAATCAGTTAGGTACATGCCATGCCTATTGCTAATTTACCATTGCTGTTTGCTTCGTCCCCTGCTGCTTTTGCCCCGCTGATTAGCCGCGCCAGCCAATCCCTTTTTGCACTGGTCGGTTTGGCCGTCCAATTACGGCCTCGGGTTGTTTGGCCGGCGACCGATCGCGATGTGCGACCCTGCCCGCTCTGCCGGCCGTCCGTCATCAGCGCGAGCGCTCCGGCGTGGCCCTCCCCACCGCGAGCCGTCAGGCAGCTGCACGACTTTGTCCGTAGCTGAAGAGCCGTCCGCCCGTCATGCGCCCGTGGCTGACTGACTGAGTGACAGGCGCGGGCTTGGAGGGCTCATGATCTCGTGAGCGTGGCCGGCGGAGACGCAACCGGGGGGCGTCCGACCCGCATTTTAGGAGGGCGTCGTCTTCCCACTGGTTTCGACGCATGCTTCCTTTGCCGATCGCTCTTCTTGGCCGATTGGAGTGCAACGCCATGAAAGTGGACCGAAGTTACTGGGTGCGGTTAGAGCCGGTCCAGCATGGTCACCGTGCCGCCCCCAACAGGCGCATCAGCCCAGCAGACTCATACACCCATCTCGAGTTCGTCAGGCCGACCACGCCAGGTTCCTCCTGGAGACGTACCAGTCCCGTTCCGTTTCTTCCCGTCCTGTCCCGCTCGAACAATTGTGACACGGGATGTGTGGCTCGTGTAGCACGTGTCATTAACCTTCGTATCGGCAAGTCCGCTATCCACCCTTTCTGTTCTCTTCGCTGCCGTGTCCTCGTTGTTCCGCCGCGGCGCCTTTCCAGTTCTCTTGCGTCGCGCGTCTATTCTCTAGGACCGTTTTTATACCGGCGCCTTCCCACGGTCAAGCCCGGTGGAGTTGTCCCACCGCCACGCACGGCCCCCAACTGACCCCGCCACCACGCATGGCCCCCATCCTGGTCGCTGCGCCCGGTGGCGAGCCGGCACCTCCTATCCACCCCCTCCGGCCCGTGTCAACCTCCGCCCCTAGCCCGGCGGCCGGGCCCGGTGGCAGGGCGGAACCTCCTCGCCCTCCCACTCCGACACCGTGTCCCCCTCCATTTGCCCATGTTGCGGCCGTGTTTGCGGGGCAGTGGGGTGTGCGGGCTGCGGGTGGACAGAGGGCGCACGGCGCATCGCTGGGTCTGGTCAGGGAGGTCTTGAGTTCGGTTCGAATGCCGGTCGAGTAATTCAATATTTTTGGAGATCTAACACTCTCAACGAGCTTGAGCTAATTTCAAGGGCAAAGTAAGTCGTATTTGGAGGTCAGTTTATTCGACGTCTGTCAAGCATACTGAGGTCATGGCATCTACACATTTCCAGCTGTTTTTTTTCTGAAATCGGCCGTGCTTGCCCGATGTCGGTCGCGCGAGAAGGTTCTACCCACCGTTGTCACGCTGCCCGCCGCTGCGCCGCAGCCCTGACACGTCCGGGCGGCTATGCTGCCGGCCGTCCGCCGCTCGATGGTACTAACCGGACGCGCCGTGTTGTCCGGCCGCTTTCGTTTTTACGGGCCGTTACGGGACCGCCCTTGAGCGTGGCGTTGCGCGCCGGCAGCCGCCGCCGCGCCAAAATGCGCCGCAGCCGCCACCGCGCCAAAATGCGCCGCAGCCGTCAGCCGCGCGGCGCGAACTCGTGAGCGGGCCGACGCCCGGCGTGGGAGACGGCGCGGGCGGCGACTCCGCCGGGGCTGCCAGACTCGCTGCTGGCCGAGCGGCTGGAGCGGCGCCTCCACGAGCGGTAGGCACCCCTGCCGTGGTCGGGTGCCCTGGCCAGGAGGCCGAGGCCGCCGCTGATGGCGCACCCGCGACGCTGCTGTGCGTGCTCGCTGCAGGCCGGCCGCCGGGACCGGACAGGCTGGAGGACACACCGTGCCACGGCGGTAATGTCTACTGAGGACAAACTCACGATGGATTCGGCCGGCGCCATGTCGGCCACTGACCTGGTGTCAGGAGGTCACGGGGCCGGCCAGGGCCAGGTCCGTCGCTGCCGGCGAGACTGACCGGGTGCTCTGGAGCGGGCCACGGGAGCGGTGCCCCGGCGACAAAGGCGCGGTGTGCGGCTGCGCCGCGGCGGCAGCGAGCGGCGCTGCTCGGTCGCGGGGCCGGCCGGCGCCACTGGCGCGACAGGAAACTGGCCGCCATTCACCCCGTCTTCCATTGTCGACGCCAATGACACGGCAAATCCGTCAGAGAAACACAAATCCTGTTTGCCTGTCATTCACGTCGGCTTTGCTTCGCTCGGCGTGCGTTTCACGAGAGTGCTGGTTAGATTACCGGTGACCCTTTGTTGATGGGCGCTGGCTCGTTGACGGACCTCTGTCGTCTCCGAGCTCGTCAGGGGTGACCTCTTGGCACCATTTGTCTCGCAGACAGCCATTGGCGGGGAGTGTCGGTCGTACTGCTGTATGTAATGAGAGACATTGATTCGTGCTGCCGGCAGTTGTGCATCCTTCCGGCACCGCTGGAGAGCAGGGTCGGAGGCTGGTGCTGTTGTTCTGTCATGAGACGGGCGCCGCCGGCAGCTGCGGGCTTCGGAGTATGACGGATCGCTCCCTGCTGCCGGCCTGGCAGGAGTAGGTCGCCGAGCTGGGGGTAACGCCGACCGGCCGACCCTTGCTCGGCGCGGGGGCCGGCTATTCGTCAGAGCGGTGACGTGGGAGGGCAGCGTGCCGGCTGTCTCAGGAGGGTCGCTCGTGACGGATGGGCCGGAGCGGGGGCCGCGGCGCCGGCGCGAGGCCGCCGCCGGCACCGCTGGCAGATGGGCGGCCGGCGCGCCCACGTGCGCCTCCCAACTGTGGCCAGCACGTGCCCGGAGGCGACGGTGTCCTCAGCTGTTGAGCACCTACCCGGAGGCGACGGCGGCTGTCTCCTCCGCCGGAAGTTATCCGTTTTTCTGAACCAAAAACGCCGGCCTGGCTGGAGGAAAATGTGCAGTCTAGATCACCGGGCTAGGCGGTGGTGAATCCGGCACGTAGCACATGCTGAGGCGCCGGGAGGGGGAGGCTCGGTCCGATCGGGTACGTTTACCGGGTCTTGGTCTTAGGGGGATCGGATGGTAGATACAGTCGGTCGTTCCCTGTGGTTAGACACGACCCTGCGACCAGTTACTTGGATGATTGAGATCGCTCGCTAAATGTGCATGTTTTCTATCTGTGCCAGTGCTCCGTGAATATCCATCGCGTGGTCGAGCGGGTGCAGGTGCGAAGGATCGGACGTCTGACAAACGTCACCTGGGCTGGCCGTGTGCTGGGTCATCCCCCCCCCCCCCGCCTTCTGAAGCTGCTCACCGGCGTGCCGTCCTCCACGCCCCCTCCCCCGTGGTCCGGTGGTCTCGTCCGTCCATGAGTGGGGGAGGGGGCGGGGGCGGGGCGCAGCCGGTACATTCCTGCGCTGCCGAGCCGGCGCCGTGTCCTGGGAGCCGCGAACAGGTTGTGCCATGCAGGGCCGGCGCCGTGCGGCGCGGCGCCGGCCGCCAGTCGCGCGCCGCGCCGCGGCCCGGCCGCTGCTCCCCCGCCGTCCTGCCGGCCTCGCGGGCCAGGACACACCAGGTCAGGCTGCGTGTCACCTCAGGTCACGCGAACGGCGAATCTCCCTTGCCGAGCGGACTGTGTTCCTGTGAGCCGTCCCTGAGCGCGATCTGCGGTGTTTGAGTGCAGACGAGGCCGAGTGCTGCCAGTGCCGAGCCGGGCGACCTGCGGTCGGCGCCAGCGCCGCTGCGGTTCTCGTGAGATGGCGCGGACCTCGGGTCACGCGGGTCGGCCGCCGGCGGCGCGCGTGGCTCGTAAACGACTTCACCTCGTCACTATCGGGCCGCCGGATCACCAGGCCGCCGGCGTTTTCTCCATTGTGCCTCGCCGGTGCCCTCCGCCGGCACGAATGTGATCGCCGGTCGTGTAGTCACGCCTACCGAACGTGTGTTATTCCCGATGGGGCGGATAGATCGCCGCCTTTTTCTGAGCGGGTGGCCGTATTGACCCGCGTGTCGAGATGAGCCGGGTCCGGTGCCTTTTGTTCTTCCGTGCCCACTTTCCTTTCGGATCTGGCGCCAAGAAGTGCGTGCTATCCTATCATTGTCGGTTCGTTACCGGTGCGCCGGCCGGTTTTTGTGCGCGCGGGATCATCGTGATGGACAATAGCCGCTCCACCGGACTCGTGAGAACGACCAGGCCGGATCGGCCGTCATGACACGGCGATCGGCGGCCGCGTCCGACCTCAGTCACGGCTCCTGTGAATCAGACGGCCCGGGCCGCGCCCTTGTGCCCGTCTCTCACGCGCGCCAGAGATCATCCAGGCCCGCCGCGACAACTCTAGCAGGGTGGTGTCCGTGACAGGGCAGGAAAGCCGCACCAACTTCATGAGGAAGGGCTTTCTTGTTCTTGCCCTTCGATCTTATCTAAAGCTCAGTTCACGATTGTTCTCAGGGTTGTGTGCGCATTGTTGTGTGCAGTATTTGCAAGGGCCCAAAGGTCGTTGGGCTGATGAAGACGCGAACGGTGCAGAACTTGTCTGCTATCCTGTCTTGTTAAAGACCGGTCTTGCCAACTGCCCCGGCGTGAACTACGATCTTTGAAGCCATCCATCATCACCTTGCAGGCTCGGCAGGGGCGTCAGGCCGCGATACAGCGTGGCATACGAGGCACATTATGCCGTGCTCCATCGCAATGAGTCGAGTATAGAGCCTCTACCGACGGCGCGACGAGTGACCTCCCCGCTGACGTGTTGTGTGCTGGTGACCTCCCGCTGACGTGTTGTGTGCTGGTGACCTCCCGCTGACGTGTTGTGTGCTGTTGACCTCCCCGCTGACGTGTTGTGTGCTGGTGACCTCCCGCTGACGTGTTGTGTGCTGGTGACCTCCCCGCTGACGTGTTGTGTGCTGGTGACCCCCCGCTGACGTGTTGTGTGCTAGTGACCTCCCGCTGACGTGTTGTGTGCTAGTGACCTCCCGCTGACGTGTTGTGTGCTGGTGACCTCCCGCTGACGTGTTGTGTGCTAGTGACCTCCCGCTGACGTGTTGTGTGCTGGTGACCTCCCCGCTGACGTTTGTGTGCTAGTGACCTCCCGCTGACGTGTTGTGTGCTAGTGACCTCCCCGCTGACGTGTTGTGGTGCTAGTGACCTCCCGCTGACGTGTTGTGTGCTGGTGGCTCCCCGCTGACGTGTTGTGTGCTGGTGACCCTCCCGCTGACGTGTTGTGTGCTAGTGACCTCCCGCTGACGTGTTGTGTGCTAGGACCATCCCGCTGACGTGTTTGTGTGCTAGTGACCTCCCGCTGACGTTTGTGTGCTGGCGGCCTCCCGCTGACGTGTTGTGTGCTGGTGACCTCCCGCTGACGTGTTGTGTGCTAGTGACCTCCCGCTGACGTGTTGTGTGCTGGTGACCTCCCCGCTGACCGTGTGTGTGCTGGTAACCTCCCCGCTGACGTGCTGTCTTCTGGTGACCTCCCCGCTGACGTGCTGTGTGCTGGTGACCTCCCCGCTGACGTGCTGTGTGCTGGTGACCTTCCCGCTGACGTGCTGTCGTCTGGTGACCTCCCCGCTGACGTGCTGTCTTCTGGTGACCTCCCCGCTGACGTGCTGTGTGCTGGTGACCTCCCCGCTGACGTGCTGTGTGCTGGTGACCTCCCCGCTGACGTGCTGTGTGCTGGTGACCTCCCCGCTGACGTGCTGTCTTCTGGTGACCTCCCCGCTGACGTGCTGTCTGCCGGTCCGCCGTGACGTGCACCCTGTGTGTTTTGGCGCGCACGTGCACCGTGCAGGCGCGCGCCCGAGCTGGTAGTTCGCTACGGCCGGGCCGGCTCTTGCTCTGCCGACTGCGGACGTGGCTACAGGCGGGACCGCCGCTCCGGCCCGGCCCTTGTCAGAGTCACCGGCGCCGGCGCCGGCGCCCGCCAGTTCCACCTCGGTCATTACACGTGTGACCCACGACTCGATCTTCTGTGACAACAACAATTTGCGATCGTGGACGAGCGGCTAGCTTCGGACACACCCCGTGCGGCCTGTCCGCGGACGGGGCGTAATGAAGCTGCGGACTGTTTGTTGGGTTTGCCAGTTGAGAGCCGACAGCGGCCTTACCGACGGCTGCGCCCCGTGTTGCCGCTCTGTGTGAGTCCTCTGCCCCGATCTGACGGTGCGTCTGTTGCCGCAGGTCTGTGTGGGGCGGCTGCAGCCCGCCCGCCTGGCCGCTCAGCCTCACATCCGACTATCACAGCGACGGTCGCGACACGCCGGGCACGGGTCGCAGCGCCGCCGCCGCCGTCACCGTCGCCTCCGCCGCCGCCGCCACCGGCACCGCCGCCGGCACCGCGGAGACCAGCCTCAGCTCGGCCTACTCGTGGGACGCCGAGCCGAGTCCTCGATCTCTGCCGTCCTCGCGGCCCGAGGACAGCCCGCGCGTGGCCGCCTCCTCCGACTCCTCGTCCGCCTGGAGCAGCGTGCACGACAGCGAGTGCGACTGCTCGCTCCAGCTTCTCAGTG